AGATGTTACGGTTCAGATTTTGCTACCAACAAAAATCATATGGTTAAAAACTATACTACTCTAGGTGCCACGTTCCTCTTGTAGATAGTTTTCTGTATTTGTTGGTAAGATCAGGCTGAGGCTGAGGCTGAGACAAACTGTATGCACAAACACCACAATTTAACCTTAGATGAAGAGTCCCCTATTCTCAGAAACACCTCATCCTCGTCACTTTTTTCATGATGCATAGGAAAGGAACTGTGATTCTTTTGAACAAAATGCAGACTTCCACAAGGACATTAAAAGCTGCAGCATGAGAAACTTTAAAATCAGATCTGATTCATTTTTGATTCACAATTTAGAACTAATAAAAACTAGTATCCCTAAGGCCAGATTGTATACATTTACTGCATTGTGACTACTCTGGTAAGAATTCTTCACCTACATGAGTGGTGTTCAAATCCTGTAGTTAAAAGATGCTATTTAAAAATTTTCCAAAAGAAACATCTAATCTTGTCCACCTCTATGATGTAAATTTAAGAAAACTTTCCTAATTTATTTGGTTCTTTCATAGGTTTAACAATCTCTTTGGAGTTCATTTCAATAACAAGTATTTAAGCTGCACTTTCAGCATTAGGGAGGCAGACACTCTGAAATAACAGCTATTTCATTTAAAGCAATCTTCATTCAAGCTATAGCCAACCACCCTGTGCATCCTGTGACAGGACAATTGCAACTCATCCATTTTATTGTAGCAACATAGGTTTGACCTATGTTCTGCATGTCTGCTTCTAACTGTTGGCAGTTGGCTCTGCAGGAAGATTCTGCATCCTTAGCTTTGCATCATACAAAAAATGCACTAGCTCACCACATAATGCTGCATGTAAAAGGAATAGAGTCCTTCTCAAGCCTTGCAACAGATCCTTGTATTTGGAGTCTGAAGAATGGATTGCCATTATTTTATCTTGTGTAGGTACAAAAGCTTACAAAGATCTGTAAAAATTATCCATCTCACAGTCCATAATTAAGCGTCTTCCCATATCTTCTCCCACTTGCCCCCCTCCTTTTACTTCTACCAATTTCTACTTCCCTTCTTTAAATTTTTGCTAACTTCATTATACTCCTCACAAAGCAAGGAAAATTTAGCAAACCACTCCAAGGCCCTAACTCCAAAAAGCCATTAAGGAGGTGGATGTGCTGCCTATATATGCAGTTCCACTTAGCACCAGCACAAAGAAAGTGCTCCACCTGTACCTGAGCTCAATCTGCTGACCAGGATCTGAGAGATCTGCTTGGGTGTGCACTGACAACCAGTGCATCTTCAGCGGATGGCATCTTCAGCGGGCAGACAAAACTCCGATGAGCTGCGTGGTGTGGTGATGCCGCCATAGGTCTCCCCATCTCCTCTATATCCTGTTCTGATAACTGTGACAGCACTCATATTTCTGTCCATTCATCATGCTCTTGCAGACCTGCCTAATGTATACAGGGGGCAGAAGACATATTTGCTATCCGATTTATAGTCCACCTGGCCCATAGTATGCTACCGCTGCCTGGTGAAATCTCATTGGAAAAACACTGATAGGTAATCAAGTTGAGGTACCCAGTTCAGTTTCACTTGCTTGTCTGTAAAGCACCTCTGCATTAACCCATGTCACCAACTCTGTATCGCATGGTGTCAGTGTTTTCATTAAAGTTTCACATATTTAAGTGCTTTGCAAGATCAAAAAGTAAATTGTTCAATATGACAGTACATATTTTTTCAGTATTTGCCTTCTTTGTTCACAGGGTTTCGTTTTTTTTTAATTTTTCTAATAGATTACTCAGACTTCTTTGCTGGCTTACTCTTAATGATTCTCAAGGCTTTTTTCCTTTTGGTATAATCTGAATATGTGTAAAGATTTTCCTGATTTCCAGCAGTGTGCATCTGCAGAATTTAAAAGATGTCACTTGAACCAGTGCCTCAAGATAGCAGTAGCTGCAGTTTCAATAGCCAGCACAACTTTGTGCCGTCAGCAGACTGCGTATAGTCTACTTCCCAGGCTAGAGCACAACACAGGATTCAGCCTGCGCAGACCAATTTCCATCGCACAGAAAGCAATTCCTGAGGTAGAAGTGGGAGGACAGCCAGGGCACCTGGGCTCTTCCTTCATTGGGATCAAGACACTGAAGGAGCACTCCATGGGCCACCAGCTCTGCAAAGCCAATATTAACTCTTCAGTGGTCTCTGTAACTACTCTTGTATTCACAAGTATTTCTATTTATTCTCCCTTCCACTCTTTTTAACAGGGACCTTATCCAAAAGCAAAAACTCAGTGGTATTTGGTATTGATCACACTAATCCAACAATGTATTTGCTACTCCAGATGCTAGGGAATTACATTTTCCCTCTTAAAATCACATACATGGTTTGATTTTATTTGTTATATTCATTCAACAATCATCCTGGTGTACCTTTTAATTAGACCATCAACAACTCCTATTGAAATAAAAATCAGTAAGTCTGTTCTTCTAGGATCTTATCTTTTCCACAACAAAGATTAATTAGTTACTGTACAAGTTTCAGAAGAGTAGCTGGTTTTAAAGAATTATATTCAAGATGTATAAGCTTTTCAGTATTACAGGTTAGGCTGGAAGACAGTTCATTATTATGGTCACTGTTTCATACTTCATATCTTTCAGATCCTTTGTAAAAAAAAAAAAAAAAAGGGAAACAGTAATTTCAACATCTGACTTTCTCCCATTGCTCCATAATTTTTTTCTCAAAGATGACGTTTGCCAAAGCCATATTGTAGGTGTCCTTAAAAATGTAACTAGGGGTCAGGCTTTCAGTATTGTTTTACCTATCATCACACACTAGCTACCTGACTCGTTTTTTGGTTAAGAATGCTTTCTGTCTCTGGAGGTATTTATCCAAAACTCATTACCATGAGATTGTGATTGGAGTCTTCGTGCTTCCAAAGCAGCTACACAATTTTTAGTCATAAAAAACAAAGACGTGAAGGTGAACATCATCCATACATTTTACAAGTCTAATTTTCAACGGAATCTTGTTTCAGTTGTGAAAAAGAAATGCCATGTGTGCAAATGGTAAGTATTAATCACTACTTTAGTTTTTCACCAAAGCAATGGAAGCAACTGCCATGAATAATTTTACATCTGAATCCAAATGGTGCTGTCATAAGCAAAACAACAAATATATCTTATAATTTCAGCATCTGTGTGGTTCATTCATAGGCATCTAGAGTAACATTTGTAATAATCTGGAGTCTGTTTTTCTGATTTCATTTTTACCTTGTTTTCATCATAATAAAATCATAAGCCCACCCACAGCTATTCAAAATAACAGTCCAGATGCTGTTATCATTTGCACTAGCATAAACGCAATAGCAGTGTGAAACCCACAGGTGATTAGTATCAATACTACTCATGCAAAATTCTCATCGCACTTCTGCAGGGCTTTGAAGGTCCTAGATTTCTGTTACTGTAATTTTTTTTCATAATGAAATGCCAGAAGTGCTGAACGATTTGAATGAACAAAATGATCTGATAGCTGAACCTTCAAATATTTTCTTCTTATTTCTAAACAGTGCCTGGGAAGAAGGAAAGCTTTATAACAGGGTTCTGTCCCCATTCTGCACATCCCCGTGGCAATACATACTGCTTGTCCTCCTTTTTTCCTAATGAATTTATGACCACGTTTCATTCTCTCTGGCATCAAAATCTAGCTCAGAAAGAGGAGCAAAGGCAAATACCCCAGAAGATGGCAGATTTGAGCTTAGCCAACAGCCTTTAAAAAAGCCTTCTGAGTTGTTCCTCTGCTTTCAGCCTGTAACTTCCAACTACATTGCAAACTCTGTATTTAAGGAGACATGCATTTGCCGCCACCGGCAAAACGTACTGGAAGTCTTTCTCAATAAAGGTCAATGATCTGAAACCTGTCAGATGTTTTAAAAAAAAAAAAAAAGCATTTTGAAAAAAATCTTAAACATTACAAAAATGCATTGATCTATTTTACTCTTTGGACACAAAATACACTCTTATAAACAAAAATTTTATCAAAACACCCATTCAAAAGGGGCAACTATTTGATACCATTTGTTTTCAGCCATAATCCCAATATATCTGTTTTAACAGAAGGTAGATATCGGAGCTGCATTACTTATGATCAATGGCAAAAATTCAGAAACAAGTATGCATCTTACTGTTATATACAGTATATATGATGCTCATTCTGCCCTTCTCATTCACAGGGACATTTACACGGAGTTGATACAAATAAAAGTGGCGGAGTCTGGAGCTTTTTTACTTCTAATTTACTGCAGATATGCCTAAATTTCCCAGACTTTATAATACATACCTTACTCCCTGCCTAACTTTGACCAAATGGTGCAAAACAGAAAAATTAAAACCAGGCATTAAGTACAGTTAATAAATATATACTGAATATGCATGGACTAACAATTGCTGCATTGTATCAATGGTAACAAAAACTCTTACAGTGAAAATTGCACTGCATAAATCCACTTAAAGCAATGGAATACTATGGATAGTATGTTATTAGACTAACAAGAAATAATGTAGAAAACTATGCTCAAGCAAAATGCTTTAAGAGATTAGCCACCATCACATTTCTTTGTGAGTAACTTAATTTTAAGAAACAAAAGTCAGAACTGTAGATTCATTATTAGTACTGGTCCAATTACAAATGTCCACAGATAATTGAGATGATATGATACTTTAACATTTAATGAAGGACGCTATTGAGATTTTGAAGCTGCAAATTACATCAGGGTGGAATTTGTTTCTCTGTATTTCATTACAGAGCTGCTAAATTTTACCTAAAGAAGAAGAAAACCCTCCATCCCATTACCAGGAATGAAAGACCATGGGAATGGTGCGAGTAAGTATATAGACTCTACAACTTAGCAAATAAATCTTTCTTATGACTACCACAAGTTTTGTGATTAATTGCAGCAAACTTAATCTCATATCCAACAAATAAATTCAGAAACACTGACCATGATTCCAGTGAGTAAACAGACTCCTTTCCCACAGTATGTATTAGGTACCATGTCACCATATCCAATGGATAGAAAAGTTATTGAAATCAACCACATTGCTCCAAGGAAGTTGCTAGTAACATCCTGTTGATCATGGTACCTGCAAAGAAAAAGAAAACAATTTCTTTATCATGAAAACTTTTGTGTTGTCAGAAGGAAATCTCATTAACTGGTCATACAACCATTCTTGTATTCTATAGTTATTTCCTTTTTTAAAAGCAGCTATAAGGAATTAAATAAAACTCAAATACAATGACATCAGCAGTAAAGAAACAGAAGGTACAACAATAGCACCAGTAATAGAGATACTCAGGATGGTTTATAACTCAGTACTCTGTTATTATTATTTAAATAGCAGAAACCTCTTGTTTTTTAATAGAATCTCTTCATCAGGGGTACAAGTCTTGCTAATCCTCTGCAGTGTCATAAGACACCAGTCTACTATAGTTGCTACAGTCTGAGCAACTATGAAAGTTGAAATATGAAAGTCAGAAAAGGATTTGTGGGCAAGCAGACAGCAGAGCACATCTCCATCTCCTTGGCCTAAATGTAAGTCTGTGATCGGAAATCTAATAACGAACTAGCATGTAAATGCTGACTTAGACAACCTAACATCTTCCCTCTTCTTCAGCACGTTCAAGATAAATAGAAAAGTATGCCATTGTATTTCTCATCATCAAAAGATAGAATAGAATAGAGTGTTTCAGTTGGAAGGGACCTACAATGATTGTCTAGTCCAACTGCCTGACCAATTCAGGGCTCACCAAAAGTTATACGAAATTATTAAGGGCATTGACCAAATGCTTCTTAAACACTGACAGGCTTGGGGCATTGACCACCTCTCTAGGAAGCCTGTTCCAGCATTTGACCACCCTCTCAGTAAAGAAATGCTTCCTAATGTCAAGTCTGAATCTCCAGTGATGCAGCTTTGAACCATTCCCATGCATCCTGTCGCTGGATCCCAGGGAGAAGAGATCAGCACCTCCCTCTCCACTTCCCTCCTCAGGAAGCTGTAGAGAGCAATGAGGTCACCCCTCAGCCTCTTCTTCTCCAAACTAGACAAATGCACAGTCCTTAGCCGCTCCTCACAGGACACGCCTTCCAGCCCTTCCACCAGCTTTGTTGCCCTCCTCTGGACACACTCCAGGACCTTCACATCTTTCTTAAATTGTGGGGCCCAGAACTGCACACAGTACTCAAGGTGAGGCCGCACCAGTGCTGAATACAGCGGGATAATCACCTCTTTTGACCGGCTGGCTATGCTGGGTTTGATGCACCCCAGGATGCGGTTTGCCCTCTTGGCTGCCAGGGCACACTGCTGACTCCTATTGAGCCTGCTGTCAACCAGCACCCCCAGATCCCTTTCTGCAGGGCTGCTCTCCAGCCACTCCTCTCCCAATTTATACTTGTGGCTGGCATTACGCCGTCCTAGGTGTAGAATCTGGCATTTTGACTTGTTAAATTTCATCCCATTAATCATAGCCCAATGCTTCAATCTATCTAGATCCCTCTGCAAGGCCTCCTGTCCCTCAAGAGAGTCAACAGCACCTCCCAGTTTGATGTCGTCAGCAAATTTGCTAATGGTGCATTCAGCTCTTTCATCCGCATCATCAATAAAAATATTGAACAGAACTGGCCCTAGAATTGAGCCCTGAGGAACACCGCTGGTGACCAGTCGCCAGCCACATGTAGCCCCATTCACTACAACCCTTTGAGCTCTGCCTTTCAGCCGTGAACCTGCTCATCCCACAGTTGGACAAGTTGTCCAAAGGGATGCTGTGAGGGACAGAATCAAAAGCCTTATTAAAAGCCAGAAAAACTACATCCACTGTCTTCCCTTCATTCACTAGGCAGGAGATCTTTACCTTAAATATAGCAAAACCTCCTTTTTGTGTTAAGTAAGCTATTAAGTGTAATTTCCTGATGTGCCATTTGTTGTCTTAGTTTTAATATTCTAGTGGAATATGTTCATTTTCTCCTTCAAAGAAAACAAGTTCAGATAAATAATCTAGTCTTCACATGACATATACACCTAATCAACTGGGAAGCCATAAGGATACATTTTAGGGCTAAAACCTGTTGTCACCACCCATTCTGTGGGGGAAAAATAGTCTAACATAGGTGGCAGCCACGGGGCCAGCCACTGCAGCCTCAAGGTTGCAAAAACCCCTGTAAGCTGCTGTGAAGCCTCAGGTTAGCTATCTATGCTGTTGGATCCTCAAGGGTATTATTTTAACCAGTTCCTAAAACCGTGTCTCACAGTGTGTCACAGAGGGCCATTAGGGAATTGGTTCACAAATCTGCAAGCAACCTGCTTTCCACAACTGAAATTATTGCTTCAGTTTTCTTCCTCTCTGGACCGCAGTCTCCACAACAGAGCAGGATAGGAATGCAGTGAACACAAAGACACTATCAGGATTTCCCTATCCTCTCACTTGCAAGACATTAACTACAAATATCTGCAAAATGCCTTCTTCAAAGTCCCACCTATGCCCTGATGGTTACAACAACCTAAAAACTCTTTGACTGACAGAGACTACAGCAATCACTCCAAACAAGTCAGTTCCACATTTTGTCTGTACTCTTCTCTCTCCTGGTGTCACTGTTGTCTTTCTTACATCCTTTATACAAGCTTTCAAAGGTTTTTTGTTCTGCACCTAGAACAATGCAGTAACAGCCCACATTTGGAGCTCCTAAGGATGACAGTGACACAAATAACGATAACCACAACAGCAACAAGAGTAGTAAGAAAAATGACAGCAAACTTGATTTAACTCATGACCACAGAGCTCAGCACAACAAAAAGAGATCTGACATTGCTTTTTTTCTAGTCTGCACTAAATGTTATGGATTTTAGTCTCCACTTAATTAACTTAGCAAATAACAGCTGTGAAATATATGGATGCAAGGAGAGAGACATATTCATCCCATCCAGGAGGCAAGAAGAAAGTCTATGTAACATGCAAGTCCCTGCAGAGTATCGTGTAAGTGATATGACCCATAGGCTTTGGATGAGCTTCACAGAAGGGCACTAAAGCCACAACACATATTCTAAGGCTAGCAATTCATTTAAATACCAATAAATGTTTACATAAATATTTATAATACATTTCTTTAATGCCCCTCTTTGGGTTTTGAACCTGGCCATTTCCATACTTCAGACAGAAAACAGTTTTCCTAGAAAGATGAAACTGCAATGCAATGCTTTTGATTTTTTCTACATTTTTTCCAAATAGTTACATCTTTACAAAATTTCAGCCCTACATGGTGATAATTACAGAAATCTTGATATGACTGAAAACAGAACATTCAAATCCAACTCAGTAAGTTCCTGAAATAAACACCAGTTTCACATAAAGAATGCCAAAATGTCTCTCTTAACCCTTGAACAACACAGGGAAAAGATAATGCAGTCTTTATCCATTTATCCTCCTTCACCCATGCCAGAAAACACAGAAGCCAATCTACACATGGTTCATTTAACAAAGGTGACATAGCATTAAATTTTAAAAAGCACAACAGTAGTTTTTCAAGTTTCATTGGAGACATGAATCTTAATTAGTAAGGTCCCCTAGATGAAATATTCATTAAAGCCATCTGCATCCACATTTAGTAGCACACTTCAAGGACCTGTTCAAATGTTTCTATCTTGTTAGCTCAGTGCTCTTGGATTTCCTACTCTGAATATTTCACCTGGTTGTGATTTTAAGGTTATAGTTCAGCAATCAAGTGGTGCACACTTAATATAAAAATCATCATCATCAATACTTATGACTTTATGGTGACTAAAAAACAAAGGATACTTTGTACCCTCTCTATGGGGTCAACTGCTCAAGCATGGCAAAGCATGCAAATTACAACCTAATTTCATCTTTCAACAAAACCGAAAACCACTTTTTCTCTCACAAGTGTACAGAGAAAGTTGAAGCAGTGACTTCTCAAGTTACATATCTGTAAGTAAAACAGAGACAATCGGGGTGGTGGGGTGGGGTGGTGGTGGTGTCACTGTCCTGATAATCCCATCATTTCTATGCCAGATATATAGGAAGGTGGATTGGTTTTGTCTTGCTTTTTTTGCCACCTCACTCATGATTTTTGAATCTCTGTGGTTAGTAATTCTAACCACAGTTGTGCTGGCATACACTTCCAAGTGCTCTGCAATGTCATTAGGCACCACCATCGCTTGCAATTCAAGCCTGAACGAGCAAAGCCAGGGGAGTCTTTGGCTACCCTGCCTCCACCATCAGGTAGCAAATGATTACATCTATATTAAAACAGGAAAAGCAATTTCTTAAAAAAGTAGGAATTGCAATGACTGATTTGTACAGCCATAGGAATGGCTGAAAATAAGTACTGGAGGCATTTAAATAGCTTTGTTTTGAGGAGGGGGAAAGAAATCTACTCATTGCCTTTTTGACTTGCTTTCAAAGTTACCACAGCCCTAAAGACTGAACTTCTCCATTTATGCAGGGAACAGTAAAATAAACACAGCAGAAGTTAAACTTTCCCATGTTTTTCCATCAGTGCACCTCTAATGTGTTGCACTCAAGTCACCAGAAGGCCTGAGAAAAGTCATTCCCATCACTGTATTTTTCACTTCGCTATTGAGACTACCTCCAGCAGAGCCAATTGCAATGGACATTACAGTGAGGAGAAAAGCCATCCACGTGAACAGTTGGAGCAGAGCTGTCTCGCTCACTGTCCGCCGTCATCAGCCACTACAAACATGTCCTCATTCCAGCTGGACTGTGAAAGACAGCTTGGATGTAACACACTCCAGAATTCAACTGCAGTTTTTCTAAACTATTCATTCACTCTGTATCTGAGAGCTCAGAAATCTGTTAGGAAAATACTGTACCATGAACAGCTTGGAAACCCAAAAGCTCAGGAAGTAAAGAAAAAGAAACAAAGATTTCCTTTGAGCGACAAGTTCCACACAAAGCAAAATCCAGTCATTACCAATCAAATTCCAAAACATAAGCTTTTTGTCATTAATCTTTACTTTGATAAAGGTTTTTTTAATAAAGATTTTTATTTTTTAAATTTGAATCACTACAAAAATATTTATTTAAATATTTAGAGCCCACTATTCTTAGCCAA